CCTAAATAACCCTTTACATGTATATATTTTTTAAAAGAAGACAACCTAAGGTATTAAACTTGGAGTATTTTGACTCTTTTCATGCGACCATTTTACCACCAATCTATGCCAAATTAAGAAAATAAAAAAAAATAATTGGTGATGTTTTTGATACACATAGCAATTTAAGAATACATGTATGGAGAACTTTAAGGTTTACTGCCAAATAACACCCCAATATGTGTTCAGAAATATCTCCTGGGTATAGTGATACCACCCATGTATAGGTGTGTCGGGTTCTGTGGGGGCTAAAAGACCTTATTTGGAGGATGCACATTCCAGTTTTCCAACCTGGAATTTTCACAGCTGGTCATCATGCACCCATGTCCTATTTGTGAAGCCGGCCAATGTAATTTACCCCATCAAACTATATATTTTTTTAAAAAGTAGGCACCCTAGGGTATTTCAAATGGTGGTATTTTAACACTTTCCATGCACAAATTCTACCACCAGTCTTTGTCAAACTTTTGGGTAGTTGTTTTTTTGTGTTTTTATTGTACTTTAGGCATGGATTCTCAGTTCCTGTTGTTATGTGTTGCTGAGAAAGAACACCCCAATATGTGTTCAGCAACCTCTCCCAACGTTGCCTCCAATGTACAGGTTGGAGCACTCTAATTCAGGTACATCTGTGGCCCTTGAGGGGTTTAGGGGATTTTGAAATTTTAGTCTCTGAATACCTTTCAGTACGCTTTTAACCGGATATAAAGATTTTTGGTTTTAACAAAAACTGCACTTTTACTGGTGATTTCATCGTCGTGATAAGTTTTACTGTTTTAAACACTCATATTTGTGTTCAGCGAAGTCTCCCGAGTATAACAATACCCCCCATGTTAAAGGACCACTCTAGGCACCCAGACCACTTCAGCTTAATGAAATGGTCTGGGTGCCAGGTCCTTCTAGGGTTAACCCATTTTTTCATAAACATAGCAGTTTCAGAGAAACTGCTATGTTTATGAATGGGTTAAGCCTTCCCCTATTTCCTCTAGTGGCTATCTCATTGACAGCCACTAGAGGCGCTTGCGTGCTTCTCACTGTGATTTTCACAGTGAGAGCACGCCAGCGTCCGTAGGAAAGCATTATGAATGCTTTCCTATTTGACCGGCTGAATGCGCGGGCAGCTCTTGCTGCGTGTGCGCATTCAGCTGACGGGGAGGAGAAGAGGAGGATCGGAGGAGGAGAGCTCTCCGCCAAGCGCTGGAAAAAGGTAAGTTTTAACCCCTTTCCAGAGCCGGGCGGGAGGGGGACCCTGAGGGTGGGGGCACCCTCAGGGCACTATAGTGCCAGGAAAACTAGTATGTTTTCCTGGCACTATAGTGGTCCTTTAAGGTTTTACGGTGTTTTGGAAAGTTAAAGGGTCAATATAGGGCTTGCCCAATTCAGTTTGCCAGATTGGTTTGCTGAGTCTGTGTTGCCTTTTGAGACCATATGGTAGCCCAGGAATGTGAAATAACCCCATCATGGCATACCATTTTCAAATGAAGACAACCCAGAGTATTCCAAATGGGGTATTTCCAGTTTTTTGTAGTAGCCACTTAGTCACAAACACTGGCCAAATTTGAGTTTTTATTTGTTTATAAATGTTTTTTTCAATTTATATTATATAAATATTATGACATATTATATATATATAGGTATATATTAAAATCTCATATATACATATATAAAAAAAAAAATTCATTTACTAACTTTATTTTTATTTTTTTACTTTTTTAACCAGCAGGGGGACAGCCGGTCAGCTCAGGCAGTCCCCCTTCTGGCAGCACTGTGGACACCTATTGCGGCCATGTGACTGCTTTTTGCAGAGGGAGGACTGTCTGGGCTGTCAGACAGTCTCCCCAGTGAAGCAGAAGACCGATTGCCATCGGGGAAACAGCAACAATTGGTAAGTACATGGGAGAGGGAGGGAGGGTAGGGGTTAATTTTTAAATTACATTTTTAATTTAACTTAGTGCCTTGACCCGTCGAGGCACTCAGTTCAAGCAGTGCATCAGAAGCTCCCCCTGCTGGGGGGAGCGATCACTCGGGGGCCCGACAGTGAGGGGGTATTTGCAATACTATTAGAGCTGCTTGTAGCGATCATGATCGCTTCCAGCGGTCTAATTCCCGTATCAGGTACGTCTGTGGCCCTTAAGGGGTTGAGGGGATTTTGAAATTTTAGTCTCTGAATACCTTTCAGTACGCTTTTAACCAGATATAAAGATAAGATTGGCGTTTGTTTGGGTATAGTGTTAACATGTAATGTCGTATGCCTGTCAAGTATAGTATAATTGTATTGTATGCTAGTTTCAAAGAGATGTGGCAAAACGTTGTGAATGCAACCATGGTTTCTACAGAAAAAAACATTTATTACATTAAAGTCAGACACAAATTTCTTAAACAGATCATATGCTCTAGCGTAAGCTTTCTTTGTGTTAATCGACAAACCTGCTTGTGCAAGTGATCTACTGTGTTTTAACAGTAGATTAAGGTCCTTGAATTGTGGAGGTTTTCGTGGTTGAACGTTCGCTGTAGGATGTAGTCTGAAAAATTTCTGTAAATTAGAACTCTAGCTGCGTTGTTCAGAATGCCGGGGGGCAGGGCAGGGCCGCCGAGCAGAGCGGCAGCCGACCGTGCTAGCTCCGACCCTGAATGGCAAAACAGCTTGGGAAAAGTTAGAAAAAAGAACATACCGCCCTTTAAGAGCACATACGGAGAGCCCAAGGGATGAACAAACGGCCGCTTCCCGCGCTGTAACCGGGAAGCCTGACAGACTGACATAAGGCCTATACACAAGTGGAGGCGGCGAAGCTCGTAAGGCGCTGGAGGGAGAGAGGTGGACACTGGCCCGGTCCCCCTCCCCCCCAGCCGGTGGGGGTAATCCCGGCCCATAAGTCAGACCTTCAGAGGCTGGGGGCGAAGGCCCGCACAGCGCGGGGTCCTTCCCCACGGGGAACCAAGATGGCGGATACACACACATGGCTGGGAGCCACGCTGGGCCACCTAGACCCCCAGGTTGCCGGAGCCCACAGAAGGACCACTCGGGGCGGAGAACTGCCTGGCAAGGAGCCGGTCTAGGCCCCAGGATTTGGTGGTGGTCCAGGGGTAGACGCCCCCAACTCTGCGAGCCCTGCGGTACCGAGGTGTGCTGACCCCCGGCGGACCGGTGGCTGGGGAGGCGTGCACCGATGCCGAGCATGTGGCCGGAGAAGGGTGAGGCATCACAGGACTGGAGCTCCAGCAGAGGTCAGCAGGAGTTGGGGAGGTGCAGGGGACGGGGGACCCGCAGACTTTTCAGGGGTGGGAGACCGCCGGACTGTTCCCGACCCCGAGTGCCCACAACGCTGAGAGACTCTCTGATGCACAGCAGGGTTCGCGGCATGTGGGATGCTGGGGGACCCAAGCAGTGAGCAACCAGCCTGAAGTGCAAAAGACCACCCGAGAAGCCATGAACTGTGTTGTGAGGGACCCCCTCCGCAGCGGAGCTGATAAACCACCTCCAGAGAAGGGACTCAAACCCCCCCCCCTTTTTTCTTTTCTTTTTTGTCGATAGGCTATCTGTGTCACTGCGCCCCCACGAACAACAGCTCCGTGTTAGTCTCTATTGCTTCCCAATAGCCGAACTGCTGCATTATAGGGGGAAGGATAACATGCATACAATTTAACTCATATATTACTATACTCTTAGGTTATGCACATCCTACATTCACTCTCAGTCATATATATGGCCCTCGAGATGTTATTAATATAGGTATTCACAGATCCATTTAATAATTCACAGTACTTAAGTTACACTGTTGAACACTACTGTCCCCCCCCTTTTTTTTATTTAGTTTTTCTTTCGCTGTCACAACAAGAATAGACAGATTATTGTTAGCGTCACTGACGCGTTAGACGATTGCTGTTAGTGAACCAGACCAAATCAAACTAGCACAGCTAGTTGCATACACCTGCTCAGGGTATTCGATAAAAGTTGAAAGTTATTATTTTTACAAATCTGTATATCTACTTCATAACATGCCTTTTGCGCAAATAAGGAAACATTGTCATAATACTAACAAATATGATTTATCATGGCCACACAACGCTAGACAAATGCACCGCTTTGGCCACAAAAGAGATAAAATTCACATGTTACTACTGAGTACAGCATATTTAATAGCATGTTTAATAATGTGGAAGTATGTACCTCCTTCTACCAGAACTGCATCGTTAACACAGATTTATCCATGATGCAACAACTTGCTTCAACAACCGCTCCAGAGAAAGGGGCTAGATAAGTGATGTTGATTGCCTTTACATGGTTATAGCAGCTGGGACACAGCGCTTAAACGCGGTATTCCCATGCACGCCTTAACTTATGAAACATAACTCCTCGTAAACTTAATGTGTGTTTTAATATATAAGACTACAGCATTTTATAAAGGGTGCTCGATTATATAACCTATACCAGTGCTGCACTTTTAGCAGCAATCTATATCTGACCACGCAATATAAGTTGATTATTTTATTTAAATGAGCATTTACACGTCTACATGCTTACATATTAATATAATTTATTTGGCTATAAATATGCAAGATAGACAGACGAGAATCAGGCCAGGCAGCAAGGACATAATGATATGTTACCATTCAATGTTAAAAGATTATTAGATACTGCAAAGTTTGAACAATGCCTTCAATAGAAAGATAATAAAAACACACTTAAATGTGATATTATATTAAACGCTGTAGAACAATAGACATGATTGATGAGCCTCTGCGCAGGCAACGTTTTGTATACCCATACATGCAATGAAAACCAGGCCTCTGCGCCAGGGCCGTCTTTAATTTAGATTGGCCCCTAGGCGAGCATTTACTTGGGCCCCCTGACTACGTCTAGATACACACAAATACACTACCTGACACACATGCAGATACACACAGACTACATATAGATACACTGACACACACAGACACACACACAGATACAAACACTGACATACATGCAGATACAAAGGTACACACACTGACTACTTATAGATACACCGACACACACACTGACAGACAGACACACAGATACACTGACACACATGCAGATATACAGATACAAACACTGACACATACAGATACACACACAAATACAAATGGACAACATACAGATACAGAGACACATTCTGACAGACGTACTGACACAGACAACCATACTGAAACACACATACACACAGACATTGACAGACATATTGACAAACACAGACATACAGAACCACACTGACAGACTCACACATTGACATACTGACAGACATACACACATTCTGGCACACACACACACACAGACAGACTGAAACACACATAGACACAGACACTGACAGACTCACAGACACAGACATACTGACACACTGACAGACATACTGGCACACAGACAGACATTCTGGCACACAGACAGACATTCTGGCACACAGACAGACAGTCTGGCACACAGACAGACATTCTGGCACACAGACAGACAGACAGACATGCTAAAACACACATACACACATACAGACAGACAGACAGACATGCTGAAACACACATACACACAGACAGACAGACATGCTGAAACACACATACACACAGACACTGACAGACAAACACACATCCAGACATTTTGACATACACAGACAGCCATACTGAAACACACATACACACTGAACCACACAGACACTGACAGACTCACACACAGACATACTGACACACTGACAGACATACACCCATACAGACATACTGAACCACACAGACACTGACAGACTCTCACACACACAGACATACAGATACACTGACAGACTTGCACTCATGCAAAATTTGATAACCACCCTCCAGTTTCTTACCTTTTCCTGGAGGGTGGCTTCCCTGGGGTCCAGTGGGCTGGCTGGGGTGGCTGGGACTTAAGCTCCCGGCCTGGCCCCCTCCGGAACAGCTGGTCCACCTTCCTCCCGCGCGGCTCCTGTTTCTGTGGGAGGAAGTGACGCACGGCTGTCACTTCCTCCCAGTGCTGCCGAAAAGCAAGGGCCCGATCGCGCTGTTAAAGCGCCACAGCGCCCGACCGGGCCCCTGCTGACACAGGCCCACCGGGTGGCCCTAAGTGCATGGGCCACCCGATGGGCCCCCATAGTTTGCGGGCAGAGGGCAAACAGGGTAGTTACCTCGGGCCCCCCAGCAGGGACAGGGCCCGGGGCAGCTGCCCCGTTTGCCCCGCGTTAAAGACGGCCCTGCTCTGCGCAGGCACTAACCCGCTTTAACCTGTTATACGTTTGCATTGGAATATGCTATGAAACAAATAAACATATTTAAAACAGAATGCCTGGTACGTGGATGCAATATACACAGAACTTTAGATTAGCTGCTAACCAGGTAAGTTTCCTTACTAAATTCATTATAGTAAGGGATTCAGAGCGGCCTTTGTAAATAATGTTGCAAGCAACTGCTTTACCTTTCCATTCTTTGCCCCATATGTAGGCTGCTGCTACTATCTGAAAAATTTCAAACAGTGCTGAGGTCTTGTTAAAATTCTCTGGGGTAGAGGTTTCTAGTGGCCAAGTATTATTATTCTAAGAGGGTAAAAGGAGATGCCACATTCTTAGGTCAGCCCTAGCTGGTTTGTCTAAAATAGTCCTAGAGGCGTCGTTGGGAGACTGTTTAGAAGAGAAAGTATTTTAGAGATGAAGGCCCCATCCTTGAGGCATAATCCTCATTGTGAAGACTCTAAAAGTGACTGTAATTCCTTCCTGGTGCAAGACCCATGAGTGGTGCAGATTTCGATATAGGCTAAAATCCTGTTTACCTTTTCCTTAGACAGGCTAGCTTGCATGGATACCGAATTTAGTGTAACACCCAGGAAAGTTATTTCAGTGCTGGGACCTTCAGTGTTGTCTGGGGCTACCGGAACTCCCAAATCCTTAAATAAAGAAAGCGTGTTTTGTAAGCTGTACGGTGTGTAGTAGTGTGGTTCAACCGATAGAAAATCTTTAAGTTAATGTATCACAACTGGACATCTGCTTTTGTTACGTAAAAGCCAGGTAAAAGTCTCTGCGAAAATATCAAAGATTTCTTGGCTACTTTTGGAGTCAGTCGAGAAATAGTATTCATCCTACCACTTAACGCCATGCAGATGCCAGAGTGATTGATGAATTGGTAGTAGTTTAAAAGCATTTGTGATGTCTGTCTTGTTTAACCAAGCCAAAGTTAATAATGGCTTGTATGGCATCCTCTATTTTTGCGTATTGTAAAGAGAAATCCTCTGATGGTATTAATGCATTTAAACAAGGGGTAGTGGAAGAGTGAGGGGCTGAAAAATCTACAATGAGTCTCTTTTTGTTATTAAATTTACCTGTAGCTATACCTCGAGGGTTAATTCTCCAAGAGGTGAATGGTGGAGTAGCGAAGGGCCCTATCATAAAACCATTTTCAATTTCTTTATTGAGGAGTTCCTGTTGACTAGTCGGATCTGTGAGTGCGGATTGTAGGTTGGGGCATTCTAGAATATCTGTGGAGAGTGCAACAAAGCTAGTATGAAACCAAGTAGTGAAACCAGAAATAAGAAATTCGACAAGATGTGAAGAAGGATGATTAGTCAAGTAACGTTGCAAATTAGGGATTATTCTAGCTTTAGTGACTGAATAATCTAAATTTTATTAACGACAGGAGGCAAATATTTTCTTATCTTTCTTTACTGTTTCTCCCAGCAGCAAAGAAATAGTAAACAATAGTATAAACAGATCAACCAATCAGAGTGTATAACAGTATTATATGATGTCATCAAGCTCCTCCCAATTCCTCTTTCTTGCTGGAGCCGACGACAACTGTATATTGACAATAAAAACATAACTAAGAACTGAGGACTAGTTGATGTCCTGGAGTAGTCAACCGTGTAAACTTCGGTAGGACTGATGAATCCCTGTGTTTCAAGCGTTAGGTTGCTTCACACTAAAGGGAAGAAGAGAGAGATCATGAAAGTATGGGGTCTCATACTAGTTGAAAAAGTAAGATATGTCCTGCATACTGAGAACTATGCGTTACATCCCATGTAAATTGATGTTAAGATTGTCAACTCTTGGATTGAGTGTAGTGAGAAGAACTTGTGGTAGATGGTGTGTAAACGTGTCTGAAACCGAAATGCCCTGTAGCAACTTACCTAGGGTGGGTGTGAATGGTCGCGAGAGTAAAGGGTGGGAAAATATTCACCTCCTGTCGTTAACAAAATTTAGATTACTAAAGCTAGAATAATCCCAAATTTTATGGCAAGACAGGAGGCTTCACATTTGCTGTTTTAACGCTTTATATGATGGAAGATGCGGCATGTGGCATAGGTTTGAAGTAGGATGTGCGGAATGTAGATTCTCTGGACCAATCTGTCGAGGACAGAATGTCGGAGAGGGATCTACCCGCACGGAAGGCGGAGGAAGCGGCTTTTCCTCTGACGGAATGTGCACCGAAAGTGGAGTCAATACTTGCTTGCGCTAGTATCCATCTTATCCACCGTGCGACGGTGGGGGCGGACACCGGTTTGTGTGGTTTGACATAGGATACGAGAAGGGGTCCCGTAGGGGGGCGCAGAGTGGTAGTGGCATCTATATAATGCCTGACGCAGAGCGCCACACAGAGTGATCGTCTATTCGGAAAGTAAGGGTAGAATACCGAGGAGGAATTAGACTTTGTTCGTCTGGTGATGTGAAACCTAACACCTTCAGGCGAGACGCTGACTGCGTGGAAATCAAATGCTCGAATATCCGAGACCCTACGGAAGGATACCAGACAAAGGAGTAAAGCCAATTTGGCTGAAAGTTGACGTAGTGTCAAATCCCCATTAGAGGGCCAGGATTCTAGAAGGGAGAAAACCTGAGTAACATCCCAGAAGCAGGAATATTTAGGGAGAGGGGGTCTGGCTAATCTGATTCCACGTAGCAGCCTGCAGACTGAAGGATGTCTCCCTATTGATGCATTGTCAATGGGGCTATGGGCCGCGGAAATAGCTGATCTATAAACGTTAATAGAACGATAGGACTTGCCTTGATCAAATAGGGTAGACAGAAAATTTAGGATGGTCGTCAGAGGTGTTGAAAAGGGATCGGTATCCCTTCCCAAACACCAGCTGACCCATGTCTTCCATGCAGCGAGGTAAACTCGTCTAGTGCCTGGGGCCCAGGAGTCCCATAGGAGAGCCTGAGATGTCTCCAAAAGTCCCGAGACATTCCAGGATCCCCTTGTAACGGATCGCCTGGCACCCCGACTGGGTACCTCCGTTGAAGGATGCTCCTAGCGCTTCCTGAGGACTCCAAGCACTCTGGCAGACACCACAATCACTGAACCGGAGAAACAAATAAATTCTCCCATGCATATGAATGCTGTAGACAGTTGAATAGGAACCATACGAATAGGTTTACTCTCCTAGCAGTCAAACTGGAACAGCATACAATAAATCCTTCCCCCAATAATGAGACGACACTTCACTTTGAGGGTTAAAACAGGAACTCCCTGTACTGTCACATACAGTCTCTTTTATTCCCAATCCACAAGCATAGTACAGCCCACAGGGCGTTACAAAACAACCAATCAATCCGTACAATACACCCAGACACTCCCACACAAAATCCTCCCCTCTGCATGTGATATGATTACTGAACACAATGGGTAATCTCATTATCACCGGCAGAGGAATACAGTTTTTACACAATATTTATAACTTCTAAAATATACATGTCACAAACATAAAACATAAATTTTCATAATCAATCCATTCAGGGGAACAACATATTAAAAAATGGCACGAATCAGACCAGGGGTTCAAAAGTTAAGGGAAAGTCCTTTGTGCAGGGGCGTATTAGCCGCGAGGCAAACAAGGCATTTGCCTTGGGCGGCATTTTTCAGGGGGCGGCAAAAAACGCCGCCCCCCAAATGCCCAAGGCAAATGTCTTGTTAGCCTCGCGGCTGACAGACATTCTGGGCGCTGGGCGGCAGTGGCTGCAGCGCTGGGCGGGCGGGCGGCGAGGGAGCTCTTCCCCTGAGCGCTCTGCTCAGCTCCCTCGCGCGCCGCCAGCAGAGTGAGGCCGGGAGACCGAAGATGACGTCATATTCCGTCTCCCAGCCTTACTATGCTGGCGGCGCGCGATGGAGCTGAGCAGAGCGCTCAGGGGAAGAGCTCCCTCGCCGGCCGTCCGCCCGCCCGCCCAGCGCTGCAGCCACTGGACCCCAGGGAGAGGAAGAACCCACCCCAGCATTACCAAAGGTAAGGAGGCTAGGGGGGGGTTAAATAAAAAAACAAAAAAAAAACACTAGTGTGTGTGTGGAAGTCTGTTAGTGTGTATGTTAGTGTGTGTATGTATGTTAGTGTTAGTGTGTGTATGTATGTTAGTGTGTGTGTATGTGTATGTTAGTGTGTGTGTGTGTGTGTGGATGTCTGTTAGTGTGTGTATGTTAGTGTGTGTGTGTGTATGTTAGTGTCTGTTAGTGTGTATGTTAGTGTTAGTGTGTGTATGTTAGTGTTAGTGTGTGTGTCTGTTAGTGTTAGTGTGTATGTTAATGTTAGTGTATGTATGTTAGTGTGTGTGTGTCTGTTAGTGTGGATGTCTGTTAGTGTGTGTGTCTGTTAGTGAGTGTGTGTCTGTTAGTGACTGTGTGTTTCTGTTAGCTAGTGAATGCGTATCTGTCAGTGAATGTGTGTGTGTGTATTTAGAAGGCGGAGCAGGGGGGAAGGTTGGGTGGCGGTTGCGCAGGTGGGGGTGGCGCGGGGGGGTGCCTGAGTTTTGTCCTGCCTAGGGCAGCACAAAACCAGGATACACCACTGCCTTTGTGACTAAATGAAGCATGGGTTTCCGGCCCAAACCAGTTTCAGAGTCTTCTATCCTGGAGATTGAATTGAGAAGTAATTCAATTATCTCGCAGGACAGACACAAGACTCCATTATGCACATGGTGAGCACAAAGCATTAAAATATTATAAAATACACAAAGTCACATTTTATACATAAAACACAGACATGTCACATATCCCCAGATAGCTGGGATCTGAGCGCACAAAACTACCGAATAGCGCTCAGATCCTATTCACACAGTTCAATTGCCATGGAGCCGAAGTCTTTAACTACACGAATGGGCTCCATGGCATAGCTATCTGGGTTAACACATTCACATAAAGTCTGGTCCATAGTCCAAAGGCAAGAGGCGGGCAAGCAGCCCCCTCCAAGGACACGTGGCGAGGCCGGTTTCGCCACACCCCTGAAACGGTCCAAGCTACAAGTTGGAGCCGGTCCTGAAGGGCGAGTGGCTGACAGTGCCCTGCTGGGTCCCTCAGGATGTCGGGGACTCGAGGTAGTAGAATTGGGTGATTCCAGATAGTTCCAACAGGGTTGGGAACCAAGTCTGGGCTCTCCATAGAGGAGTAACAATGACTATTGTCTCTGCTAGGGCTTTGACCCGGTAAAGGGTGTGTTGGATCATGAAGAAAGGCGGGAACGCATAGGCTCCCGTCTCTGGCCAAGGATGTAGAAAGGCGTCGACCGCCCATGACAGGGGGTCTGGGAGCCAGCTGATAAAGGCCTCTGGTGATTCAGACGGGATGCAAACAGGTCCAGTGTAAGGGGCCCGCGAAGGCAGCAAATTTGATGGAACAAGTGGGGGTCCAATTGCCAGTTGCTTACATCCCTCCAGTGGTGAGAGAACCAATCTGCTACTAGGTTGTCCGTGCCCGGAAGATATTCCGCTTTGATGGACAAATTCCGCTCTAGGCAGAATTGGTACAGATCCTTGGTAAGGTCGGATAGGAGCTTGGATCGTGAACCTCCTAATCGATTCACATAGCGTACTGCAGAGACGTTGTCCATGCGCAGTACTAGTGAACAGTTGAAACAGTCTTTTGCGAAACTGCGAATCGCGAAAGATCCTGCGATCAACTCTAGACAATTGATGTGCAGTGTTTGTTCGGAGTGGCATCAGATTCCAGAATGAAGTCTGGTTGAGATCCGAAGATGGCTTTGCCATTCCAGGCCTC